ACCAAAATAAAAATCTTTATTCTACCTTTAACAGCTGAGTCACAGTCCATCACCAATCCAGCCTCAATCAGAGGCCACTCTGGAGGGGTGCCGGGATAGACCCGCTCCTCAAAGAAAATACACAACAAACCATGTATATTTTTCCTTCTAAGCACCACAGGTGTACCTTCAGGCACACTTTCATGCACATACACTCTTGTTACTAGTTCGCCATCCGCAATATTTCCATGACTTTTCGAAAACCTTCGAGAAAATATTATTTTTCACAAATACATTTTCAAGGATGTTGAAAATGCATCTTCAATTTCAATACCTTTTTCATGACTGAATGCATTTTGTCAGTTACAAATGGGTCATAGGGGAAATAAGAGGGAACCACTCCAGCTTTTCCGACACTAAATGAACTCAATCCAACACACTAGTGCATCTACCCCCACGTCCACATGCACATATTAACTGTAACCAATGTTTTTCACTACCTATATTATTGTTTGCATGTTTTAACAATAAATAAACGTCTTTACTTGGCTTTGTACTATGCTTTCTGGCTGTGTCCAAAGCTGAAGCACATGCCATTTTATCTAATCCAGCTGAACAGTATCCAATCGGAGTGATGAAGTCGAAGTATTTTCAGACAGATCTGAGTTACACCAAAGTCTATTTACAGCGAGAGCAACTGTATCTTGCTAGCAACAACCTCTATAAATGAAGGGAAACAAGGAGAACATTGAAACTGAATGTGTGAAAATCCATGTTAGTATGAATTCAAATCTGAAAAAAAATCAGTCTCAATCATCATCAATTGTGCAGATAATTGATTGGATCCTAACTGAATGTTGTGCAATATTATTCAACATAGAAAATACGGACCGAGAAAATTTCGCGACATGAATAGGATGACACTCTCCAGTCAGATTCACTTCATGATCTTGTCGGCCTCCTCGTTTGTCGATGACATCGGTATCTTTTCTGCAGATGAACTATAAGTCTCGCTCCAAGGCTGCTCCAGCACTCTTTCAGCGACTTGTACCATCTCCTGTCTGAAGGAGCAGTCACTCACCCTGGTGTGACGGAGGAGTTTAAGGTGCAGGCAGGACGGTGGGTAAAGTCATTCGCCAGGGATGTGCCCGTTAGTCCGTCATCATTAGTGCGTCATTATTTCAGGCCTGCCCAGTCTGTCACTTGTCCGTTCGTCACTCCATCGTGCTATTTACCACGCTTTCGCATTCGGTAAATTACAGTTCATCACCGCTATTACAACAATTCAGACCACTTCCCCTCCACAAAAAACAGACAGATACAGACAGATAATAATTTTTTTTTAAATTGGTTGCTGAATTTCACAATAACCCCCTCCTTCAGTTCTGCTGCTGTAGACTGCAAATGTCCCCAGTGTGGACAAATACAAGTTTTCTTATCTTATCTTACCTTAATCGAGTATCTTTTCTAGGGATGTAACGAAAAACAGGTTAAACCAGAAAATCATTTTTCAACGTAAAGGATGTGAGTACGTTGAATCGAATTGTTCCACTTTGAAATATATCAAGATATGAATTGAATGTCTTTTATTGGAGAGATCTATCGAAGACGGAAATGCACATTGATAGTGTTGAAAAAATTCATTCAAATGTATACAAAATGACAACAAAGAAGTCATTGCTCTGCACCGTACCAGATCGAATCAAATTGTAATCCCACCGAATCAAAGTGAATCGAATCGTTGCAATATGAAATCGAATCATCCTTATATTGATATTTCTACAGTTTAACCCCAGTGAGTCCCAGGGACTCGCTGATCAGAAAAGTTTGAGTCCCATTATGCATTTAGAGAGTCCCAAATTTCGAATTCTGAAATGGTCTACTTCTTCAATTGCACATGATAATAACACAAACAACAACAATATACATTGATAATAGGTTTTATTTCTTATAAACCAATGCTGCAAAAATTTAAATAATTCAGGCATACAAAATTTGCTGAGAAATAGGTTCTTATTTCATCCCATGGTTCAGTCTTTGAGTTCATAAATTCTCCTCTCTTTACTCTGCTTCCAATGATGCAAGGCTTTCTCAAAGTCAACTTATCACAAAAAATGTATCCAACTTTAGCTGCTTCCTCTGTGATATCTCCGCAATAAACTTTCGCAACACTTGTTCGCAACACTTGTTTTAACATTAACACAACTTGGCAATCGTCTGCTTTCCGCCAGTGAAGGCCGATCTCGCCAATCTCGTCTCGCGAGAACAGAAATCTCATCACGTGAGATTACTTAACGTGAGATCAAAACAACAATGGCAGCGATGGTCAAACTGCGGTCATTGCTGGAAAAAAGATGTACCGTAGGGTTTTTTTTTTTGTTTTGACGAAGACATTTCCTTGCGTCCCAAAAACGCACATTATTTGGAACTGTGCGTCCCGCGGGAAAAATATGCGTCGAGGACGCGGGACGCAGAGGTAACGAGATGGCTGGAATCCAGTCATTTCAAAGTTTCAAAAACCGCATTGAATCATCACTGATGACTGACACACTGTGTTGGATTGAAATAATGACGGACTGATGATGACAGACGGGTGGCTCGGCCATTGGCAGATATTGAGTGACAGACCGATAAAATTTACTGACGTGCCCACCTCTCAATAACAAACAATGGTTTGTTAACAAGTGCACTGATTCTCAACCATTAGTGTGCCGTTAGAGCTCATCAGGTTTCCATCCATCCATCCATTCTCAACACCGCGAATCCTGAACGGGGTTTACTTCCCAGTTACAACACGCTCAGAGGAACATCAACAAGACAGCATTAACCGACATGGGGGAGACAGAACGAGAAGCCAGGCGGGTCGCTGTTAAGAACCCCGATATCTTAGATGTGAAAGGAAAACAGTCAGGAAGAGGAGGAAAAAAAACAGACTCCAACCATTCTCATTAATGGGAGGATGGTTTGAGCCAGAGGAAAACAAACAAAAAAAAAACAGCACATGCAACGTACATTCTTAAACAGTACAATAATTCTTATGACTTAACATGTAATGAAACGGGTGGTGGATAGAGGGAGGAAGGTGGGGGGAGCATCACAATCTGTGAAACGAGTTGCACACATTCGGTGCGCTCAGTCTCTACGGTGACGTCATTTGCTCCGAGTGTAATTGAAAAGAAAAACAAAAGCAAGAAATTGAAATTTTGAAAACTGGCTCTTGCCAAAAACTATTTTTTGATTCCCATCACTAGTCATCTTGGCCACACACGTGGTTCCCCCACACAAGAGTGTGAATGTGCGAATAGGTAAATATCCGTTGTAAGCACTTTGAGTACGTGACAAAGAAAAAAAAAACGGCATATAAATCGGATGCATTTTTATTTTTATAAAAACTGGCATGAACTGTAGAAATATAATAACAGTTGTCTTACTACCGTTACCATGTACAGGTACTCATTCATTCATTTTCCGATCCGCTTATCCTCACAAGGTTCACGGGAGGTGCTGGAGCCTATCCCAGCTGTCTTCGGGCAGTAGGTGGGGGACACCCTGAACCGGTTGCCAGCCAATTGCAGGGCGCACAGAGACGAACAACGATCCGCGCTCACACTCACATCTAGGGAAAATTTAGAGGGTTCAATCAGCCTGCCATGCATGTTTTTGGAATGTGGGAGGAAACCGCAGTACCCAGAGAGTACGCCCGGGGAGAACATGCAAACGCCACACAGGGAGGCCGGATCTGGAATTGAACCTGGTACCTCTGCACTGTGAGGTTGACGCGCTGGACCACCGGGGCCACCCTGTAGAGGTACTGTAATCCAAAATTCAGTAGTATACTGTTAAAATAAATAACAGTAGATGCTGTGTAAAATTACCACACCACCCACTGTTATCCTACCTACGGTAATATACTCGAATTCAAGATACAGTAAATTACTGTAGATGCATTGGAAAATACAAGCAAATTACTAGTATCCCCGCTGCCAGTAATTTACTCTTATTGTAGAGCAAACCTCTTGACAGTGAATATATAGAGAGACATTTTATTCTACATTGATACTGTCTTTCAATTCTGCTGCATCCCCCCATGCCCCAGACTGATGCTTTTAAGTGTGAAATATTCAACATTTTCTTGTGAGAGAGCATAGCCCCAGACACCACTTGAGGAACGTACACTTCTCACCGTTTTCACCTCTGTTTTCATGCCTGACTTTGGTAAGGAAAATGAAACAGAACCATCTGAATCATCTAAGTAAAAGTTTAATCAAGGCAAGTTCAGTGAGTAGTACACTTATATGTGGAGGCAAAGTGTCTCGGAAAAAGAACATGTGGGAGGGCTTCACCGTGAATCGCAAAGCAGAGGCAAACAATAAGCAAGAAAAAGCCCCACAAAGTTCTCCTTGTGATTCTGAATCTGATTCTGAGAAGATGGTTCAATTTGTTCCAGAACTTTGTAATGACCAAAGAAGCACCCCAAGTCACCCGAGGTACTGGTTAAAGTATCCTGAAGAAAAAAAACGCCGGTCTCTTTGCAGTGAGCACAGCCCTCAACTTGTGTTTGTGCGTTCGTGTGTACAGTATGTTTGCGTGTGTTACTGATGCCAGACATAAGTACTTAGCCATTTATCCTCTGTGAATGAATCCTACCACCAAATATAGTTTCCTCTGCAGCTGCCCAGTTGGTCTTGTCAAAGCCTTTTTTTAGTGGCAGACCTCTCAACACCACAGCACAAATGTTTTCGAGAGCTCTTTATCCTGGAGGGATAGAGTTACATATGCGCAAGCATGTGCGAGTTCCTCAACCCACGCTGCACATTCAGTCCAGTCTAACGCTGAAAAAAAATTACAATTCATTCAAAATAAAGACAGCATGACATGGCTGCTAAACACTCAGAAATGTAGCCTCCCTGATTATTCCCAGTGAAGTTGAGAGGAGGTGCTCTCTCTGTCTGTCTGTCTGCATGCTCTCTCGCTCTCTCTCTCTCTCTCTCTCTCTCTCTCTCTCTCTCTCTCTCTCTCTCTCTCTCTCTCTCTCTCTCTTTGTTTTTCAAAAACCAGGGAGTCAAATGCTTTATGTTTGACAGTTGTGTGTGACAGCGGGACACGCGTTTCTACAACAGCTCTCTTTCCGTGCTTTGGAAACCCCACGTGTTTCTTGATGGTTTAGGTATAGATGCCTTTTTTTGCTTTTCCATTTCCAACACCTACCTGTTCCCATTTTTGTCTGGTTGTTTGACAACCGCCACAGAGCAGAGTCGTCCAAGAATGTCCGTCTCGCGAAACTCAACCAATGGCTTTGAAGCCATTGTTTCTACTCTTCAGGTAGGAATTCACTGCAACACTGTGCATTGTGATACTGCTGAGCTTCAAACAAGTCTTTACAACATAAATGACACTTTACTATCATGTAAACTTCACATGATAGTGGATGAGATTTATAAAGCTAATATTAAATTTTTTATATCCCTGTGATACAACATTTATTTTTTTTTAAAGTTTGCCATTGTCGTTCACACTGAAGTTGGCACAGTGGCTGACTAGTTAGCACATCCACAGATTTGAACTGTGCTGTAGCCTTCCTTGGTGGCGGTCCCCCCACCCCCACCCCACCCCCGTGTGTGTGTGTGTGTTGGGTGTTGTTTGTGGGTGTGGCTGGGGGGGGGGGGGGGGGTCCGCACGTACTTTGGTTTCTCCCACTTTTCAAAAACATGCATGGTAGGTTAATTGAAGACACTATATTGTCCATAGGTGTGAATGTGAGTGTGACTTGCCTATTTATGCACTGCTGATTGGCTGGCAACCAGTTTCAGGTCTGGGAAAGGCTCCAAGCTCACCCGCGTCCCTTGTGAGAAAAAGCAGTCCAGAGAAGGGATGGATAAATCGATGGACGTGGGGTGATTTTTACAATGTCTTCTCATTAGCCCATCCAATTTTATGAGAATGACAACTGACATGCTCACACAGTTTCCACCATGTCATCTTAAATGAAAATAAAAATGAAAATCATCATTTTGAAAGCATTATCGCATAGTATTGTTCTTCTCAGGTTGTTTCCGTGTGATTGAACTTCCTTACCATTTCGTTTGCTATTGTTTTCTTGTTAATTATTTACCTTGTCGTTTTCAATCGCTTAATGCTTATTACGTGTTTTCCTGGCTATTTGTTGCCAGCCATCTTTGTTTGTACAATGTCGATTTTGTGCTTTTCCGTAAATAAATACTTTTGTTGATTCCTTATCCCCGTCTATGTTTGTTGGAACCATGTCAGAGAGAATATGTTCAACCATCATTTTGTGACCTCAAGCTGAAGTGCATGAGTTCTACAACAGAAAACACACACCAACAAGTCAACTCCTCCCACCCTCCCAAAATAAAGGTTTTAAAACGGCCTCGTCAACGTCCTGACCTGAATCTAATTTTTTTGTGGCATGAGCTTGAAAAGACTATTTATGCATGAACATCCTAAATTGTTCCGAAATTAAAGTAACTCTTGAAAGAAGAGTGGGACAAAATATCTTCCCAGAGATATACTGTAAAAGACTCATTGCCAGTCATAGAAAATGTCTGATTTCAATTGAAGGTACTGAGGATCGCTCAATCAATTATTAGGTAGTTTTCCTGAAACAATTTTTTTCCTTAATATTTTTTTTGTCACTATTTTAACACAAACTGCATTTATGTTTACTTGAGTTATTTTTGTTTGATATTTACATTTGTTTGATGATGTCAAACATGGCGGCCCGGTGGTCGAGTGGTTAGCAAGTCAGCCTCACACTGCAGAGGTGCAGGATTCGATTCTGGCTGCAGCCTTCCTGTGTGGAGTTTGCATGTTCTCCCCATGCCTGTGTGGGTTTTTCTCCGGGTACTCTGGTTTTCTCCCCGGCAACCAGTTCAAGGTGTACCCCTCCTGCTACCTGAAGACAGCTGGGATAAGCTCCAGCATGCCAGCGACCCTTGGAAGCATAAACAGATTTAGAAAATGGATGGATGGATACATAAAACACAAGGATTCAGATTAGGTGTTTAGTCACCTTGTACACCATGTTTTGTGATTACAATGGTGCTTTTCTTTATTTCTCCAGAATGCTGGGGATGCTGAGAGCACCTTGAATGTTCTGAATATCCTGGATGAACTTCTGTCTGCAGGTGAGCAAATAAATAGAATTATTGGAAATAAATAGAATGAATGTATAGATTTTCACAGTGTCCTTCAACCAATTGCGGGACTTTTCCTGGTTATGTAAATTATCACCTGGCGTCGGGCAGAAACCTTTGTCCAAATTTGGTTGATTTCATCTTTGTTCACAAATATATGGTCTCAGTTCCCACAAGGGTTTGTTCTGTTTTATAAATCAGAATCAGAATCAAAAGCTGGTTTTGGGGCGCACGCTAGCACCTACCTGAGGGGAGTAACTGGAAGAGGTGGTGAGCAGGGTGTGGAGGGCCCTGCAGTATTTTCTGTGTTCTTGGCTTGGTTCTTGCGGTGTGCAAGAACTCGAGATTGGGTAGAGAGGTAACAATTATTTTTTCGACACCCTTTAGCGTCCGTTTCAGTTGGATTTTGTTCTTTTTATGTGATGTCACCAAACCAAACTGTGAAGGAGGAACACCGGACTGATTCAATGACTGCTGTGTAGAACTGACCCAGCAGCTCCTGTGCCAGGCCATGCTTCCTCAGCAGCCTCAGGAAGTACATTCTCTGCTGGGACTTTTTCAGGATGGAGTTAATGTTGGCCTCCCACTTAATGTTCTGAGAGACTGTGATTCCCAAGAACTTCAGGTTCTCGACAGTTGACATCGGGCATTGCATAATGTGAGGGGCAGCTGTGGCCAATAATATTTCCTGAAGTCATCGCTACCATTTTGAGGATGCTCAGCTCCAGGTCGTGTTGGCTGCACCAGAGCGCCAGCTGCTCTACTTCTTGTCAGTCCGCAGACTCACCATCTTTGATGAGGCTGATGACTGAGGCGTCGTCTGCAAACTATCAGTTTGATGGCTGGGTGCATTGAGGTGCTGTCGTTCATGTAGTGGGAGAAGAGCAGCGGAGAATGGACGCATCCTTGGGGGGCCCCAGTGCTGATGGTGCCTCTTGATGATGTTTTCCTTCCCAGCCCCACATGTTGGTCCTGCCCATCAGGAAGCTGAGGATCCACAGGCAGATTGTAGGAGACACACTGAGCAGGAGAAGCTTGGAGAAGAGGAGTTCCGGAATGATGGTGTTGAACGCAGAGCTGAAGTCCACAAACAGGATCCTTGCGTAGGTCCCTGATGTTCGTTGGGTGGTCAAGCACAAGGTGTTCGAAAGACTTCCACAAATGTCAGAATGACAGGCCTATCGCCTTTCAGTTCCGATTTTGCTGGTTTCTTGGGCACTGGGATGATGGTGGACTGTTTGAAGCAGGATGCGACCTCACACTGCTCCACGGATCTGTTAAGACCTGTGTGAAGACTTGAGCCAGCTGGTCGGCACAGACATTCGGGCAGGACGGAGACACTCCATTCGGCTGCAGCCTTCTTGATCTTCTGCTGCTTGAAGGGCATTCCTGTTCGTGGATCACCAAGGCAGGGTATGGGGTGTGAATGAGGTAGTTTCTGGTGGAGGTGAGACAGGTGTGGGAAGTGGAGGTGTCCTTTTCAAATCTGCAGAAAAACATGTTGAGATCATTAGCCAGTCACTTATTGTTCAGTGCTTGTTGGGATGGTCTCCTGTAGTTTGTAACTGCTTTCAGGCCATTGCACACAGATGCAGAGTCATAGCAGAAAACATTTTTTTCAGCCTCTCTGCATCACTTCTCTTTGCGATGTTAATTTCATTCTTCAATTGATTTTGGGCATGTTTGTATAGTGCCCTATCTTCACTTCTAAAGGGTTCCTCTTTCGCGTTTCTAAGTTGCCTGAGTTTGACAGGGAACTGTGGCTTGTTATTGTTGAAGGAGAGGAAAGTCTTTGTTGGTAGACACGTCCTCACGGAAACTAAAGTATGATGTTACAGTGTCGGTGTATTCATCCAGTCTGCCTGTTGAAGTTTCAAAGATGCCCCAATCAGTGCTGTCCAAGCATTCTTGTAGTGCTAGCTTTGCTTCATTGGTTTTGACAGCTGGTTTTACACATTTGAGTCTGTGCCTGTATGTAGGGATTAATTGTATTAAACACTGATCAGACAAGACCAGCTCTTCATGGGCAACAGATCGATATGAGTCTCTCTGTGTCGTGTAGCAATGGTCCAGAGTGTGGCCTTCTCTGGTGAAACAATCAATGTGCTGCTTATATGTGGGAAGTTTATGATTACATTGTGTGCTATTATAATCACCCGAGATGATTCGGGGTGATTCTGGACGCTTTAACTCGGGTTTGTTTACTTGGTCAGCCCGCGTTTGTAATGATGTGTTCGCATTAGCTTGCTTGTTAACAGTAAAAGAAGAGAACTCACATGGTGAGTAGAATGGCTTACAGTTTAGAAACAGCGACTCTGGGCTCCATTCTGTGCTGAGCTCCGTGACATCAGTGAACCATTCTTCATTGATTTTGAAGCATATTTCACCACCTTTTAATTTCCCTGATAGTTCTGTGTCGCGGTCTGCTCGGTGAAGATGGAAACTGGGTAGGTGTAGCACAATATCCGGGTTGCGGTCACTGAGCCAGGTTTTGGTGATGCAGAGCGCGGCAGAACGTGTAAGGTTTTGGTGGTCCCAGTGAGGAGAAGTTCATCCATATTGTTTGATTGCAAATGTAGATTAGCAAGATGGATCGATGGGAGCGGAGTTTGAAATCCACGCTGACGTAGCTTGGCTAGACGCCGGCCCATTTCCCACTTATCCTCCGGCAGCGTCTCCGTATTTAGTAAAGTGCAGCCGCCCCGCCAGCTATTGTCTCCGTAAAACCTTGTGGGTTTATGTGTGGAAAAAAAAAAACACAGTATACTCCCTAATGCTTAGCAAAGCTTCTCTTGAGTAAGTAACCAGTGTAAGATCGCGAAAAATGAACAAAAATGACAAAAACAATACCAGGCAGCGCGTCTGAATTATTGACCAACCTTGAAAGTATTAAATGGTTTGGACTCTGATGCCATTTAGGGTCAACAAGCTAGAATTCTGCCCTATGCCAGCTATAACTTACTCTGATCTGGACCACAATGGGGTTTTTTTTTCACCTAAACTAACCAATATTAAAAAAAATGAATTTGTACTGACCTACAGATGCCAAATATTAGAAAATGAACATTGTGTGTGCAAAGTTCAGGTGTTTTATCTATCCACAGTCACTTATTGATTAATCTGGAGAAAGTATATCACCTGGTGTCAAAATAAATGCTTGTACTTTTTGTGTTTTAATGCTGACCTTTTCTTGGTCTGTGCAGCTTTCACACTTGTCCTGAAACCAGAATTCCTTTGCAAGTAGGCAGCGACCTTTCTCTTCAAGTGGTCAACTTCATGATAAGGGCTGACACATCGGGTCCTATTTTACAGTTTAGCACAAAGCATAGTCTAACTGTGCGCATGGGTGGAGTTTTCTTTATTTTGTATTTTTATAGGCTTTGCACATGAAGAATTAGGCACAAAGTGGCATTTGCGCCTTTGTGCAGCACTGCGGCATGCAAGTAGCCTTTTCCCGCCCAATCTTAGTGGCATCCCTCACTTTGGTCAAAATCAGGGCGGTCCAAGTGCAGTATGCGTGAGTACACTGTGCTTGACATTGCGTAGACAGAAATAGGCTCGCTGGGGTCCATGCATGACATTGGCAGGTAAACTGCAAGCTCTCCCCTTGTAAATGATGTTGTCGCCTTGCATGTCACGTGGGGAGACTGGGGGATGTTGCAGAATGCCTTGCACACCTGATCTCATGTCTCAATATTGAAGATTTAAACCTGATGAGCAATCGAGTGCCGAATTTGTCTGTGTGAGGCTTGATCAAGTACAACAAATTTGCGTTACATCACTTGCACTTCGAGTTAAACCTGCTCTTCCCCACACCAATACAATAACCATTGTAGGCTTTTATTTTGAAGTTGGCCCATGTGGGGCCGTAGTGGCTAGTTTGACTTGTCTTTTGAAAATTTGGGCTTGCCTGAACACAAAATCACATTCAATCACTAATTTAGGATGTTAAGAAACAGCAACTCCATCATTATATAATATGGCCCAATTCTCCCCTGTTCACGGTGTTAAGATATGATTCCTCTCTGTTAGCTGTATTTGAAAGAAACAATGTAGAATGCTGTTGAAGGTATTTCCTGCTTACTGTGATTACAATCACCTTTGGTACCCCCTCACCCCCACCAATTTTAGGACCCTTCCAGAGGACATGTCAACATCAAAAGAGGAACTGTTATCTCAAGTATCTGTGTTGCAACTATTGAGGGACTGCGCTTTACTATGAGTACTATTGATCTCAGTCTCTTTCCTGAACATCTGTTTGCACACTTAAAACAACGTATGCAGTGTTAAAGTTTATCTTCTTCCTCCTTGGTTGATTAACGGCCCCCCAAGTGTCTTCTGTTGTCCCCCCGCACCTTGGGTCGGTCCCTGATCGCTGTTAATCCCCCCTGGGAAGATCTCTTATCTCAGGATGTATGCACAGCGGGGGTTCTGGAACTTGCCATCACACCAAATGGTGGGTAGTGGTGGTTTGGTCTCACCTCACCACTCCCAACTTCTTCCAGCCACACCGGGTCAGATGTCATGTTACTTTCTTTGTTTCCGGGATTTGCATGAGAGGTGTACCTCCCTGCCTCTCATTATCATATTGTCTCTATATAATCTCATGAATGTGTTTCTTCTACGCTTCCTGATTCAAATCTGGACCCCTCAGGAGCCCGAATCGATTCGTAAACTGCAGAAAATAAATTAAAACCCTTCGAAGGAACTGTACATCGCCTCCAGCCTTTATTTGGATTACCAACATTCTCCTCGTCCGAAATTCAACGAACACACGGGGAAGAGGAGGCCGCTCTTCCCCCAACAACGGCCAGCAGCGAGCTACGAGCTGCTGGCAACGTGTGCCCATATGGCAATAGCTAGTAGTTCGACGGCTGTTGCTTTGGTTTATTTCTTTTCTTCTTTTTCATTGACATGGAGATAGGCTAGTTTGTAATTCACTCTCTGTGTTTAAAAAAAAAAAAAAAAAGTATTTGCCTAAAATTGCACTTTGCGATCTTTTTCAATTGCGGTCCGTGTATCCTACCTTTTATTACACAAAACGTAATGTTCCTAAAATCTAAACAGCTAGATTTTTGCAAGTGAAGAGCAGCCAGCTCACAGTAATGTTTGTGCTTCTGACTCACTTGTTGCAAGCGATGTCAACAATAATTGCACAGAACAAGAAGAGTCAGACTGCTGGTCAAACAATCAATTAAGGTGTTAATTAACTTGTTTGGTATTTATTTCTTACATAGTTGTTATCTATTATGTTATATATTTATTTGTTCATTCATGAACTCAATGATCGCCTGTTAACTACTGCCTAATTTACCTAGCAACAGTCACTTATGGGGAGCAATGGTTCCTACATTTTCTTCGGCATGTGCAGTAGATCACTGAAGACAATTGAATTCACTGAGATCTAGAATTGGTGGCATGGTGAACGAATGGTTAGTGCTTTTGCCTTACATTTCTGGAGTTTTGTGTTCAAAGTTTGGCTCCGGCCTTCCTTTGTCAAGTTCTCCCTGTGCTTGCCTGGGTTTTCTTTGGGTATTCCAGCTTCTCACATGACTCCTGCTTGCACAAATCCAGGGTGTACCTGCCTCTTGCCCCAAGACAGCTGGTCTTTGCTCAAGCTCAGCCATGGGGAAAAGTGGCATTGTAAATAGATGGATGAAGCTTATGGATATGTAATTTAAGACTAGATACCGTTTTACATAATACATTGATCAAAAGATTATGCAGCAGCATAAGCCAGGTTAAAAAAAAAAAAAAAAAAAAAAGGTGACTTGTAGTGTGCAAGGTACAAATATGCACAAACACAATGGATAGTATTGCAAGTAATACTCACTGTTGTTTTATTTCACATTGTCATTTCCTGAAAGTAAAGCAGTAGTGCCCAACTAACCATCACCCTTTATTTCAGGTACTGATCGTCGTATTCACTACATGATCAGTAAAGGTGGAAGCGAAGCCTTGCTGAGCGCACTGGTCAAAAATGGCAGTAGATCCAGTCCCGACTACACCATTCTGTTGCCCTTACTATACCTGGTGGCCAAAGTTGGACACAAAGGTAACTTTAATTTGAAAAAAACAGTGGGGATCCACCCCCACTCTTAGCAGAGGATAGAGACACAGCCTGACAGGATCACTGATTTATTGACGCCCCGCGAAAAGTGGTCAGTTGCCTCTAATAGTTTAAAACTGTAACCCAACACTGTTGAAACAATAACCTAACACGTCAGCTAGCTGTGAAACATCTTAAAACATTGCTGTACCCATTAAATACATATCAATAATTAGCTGACAGCTCAGTACACAGATATACAATGTACAGTACCTGTACATGCACGTCAACAATTATAAAATGTGTGTGAGTGTGTGCATATTTCCATGTGTGTGTGACAAATCCCCCTTCCATGATTATCAGACTGCGATTGATGATCAAGTGGTGTTATACGATGTTAACAAGAAAAGCATGAGGCCATTTTGTAAGATGTTTTTTTTCTTGCCAATTTGTTCTGCGCATTGATCGAGTTGAAGTACAGTCCAAACACATGAAGAATTGTATCAGGCTGTAAAAGTAACGTAAAAACAACAATGAAGAAGTGTTGTACATTGATGAAAGATAATCTATCAAAAAATGTACACATTAGTGCTGGTTCTACCACTGTGTAAATTGAATATGCTTTACATATAGATGCAACAGTGGAGTTAACTCTTGTACAGACCTGCAGTACATTAATGGTTAATGGCTAACCAGGGATGGATAACCATGAGTGATTTGGTTGTGTGTATGACATTAAGAATATAAATGCTAGCTTGTGTAGCCAAGAGGAGCCAGATGAGGTGGCTCGGGCATCTGATTAGGATGCCTCCTCAACGCCTCCCTGGTGGGGTGTTCCGGCATGTCCCACCGGCAGGAGGCCCAGGACACACTGGAGAGACTATCTTACCCAGCTGGCCTGGGAACGCATCACACCAAAGGGGATAATCTGTACTTCATTGGACAGATGTGGCGTTTGTCAAGACAAAGCAGGTCAGCATGGAGAAGAAGAATTGACAGTGGAGAAGGATTTCCTCATAAACAGATCTCACAGTGAGACTCAAAAACTTGGTTTCAGAAAAATAACAGACTCAAGACAAAGGTTCACTTGATGGCAACAGGGTTGTAGTTCCTGAATAAATTCTATTAGTACAGAGGTGCCCAAACTTTTTGGACCGAAGATCGACTTTTCAATCAACCAACCTCCCGTGATCGACCCGTTACCGTGCACGCACAAACACACACACGCCATGATAAGCAACAGCCTGACACGGAGGCAAGTGACGCACTTTTGCAGCCTGTTAACTATCGTATCTCACATGTACCGTTTACAGTGCTTCCCTCGGCCCTCTAGATTCCTATTCTTTGCCCGTGCCCTCAGTGAATTGTACATGAAACAAACTGAATGAGAATAATGGCAACGATAAAAGATATAGCGCAACAGTTCTGATCACAAGCTGCAATTGCAGACTGCTGAGCACTAACAACTTCCGGTGACGCAGGTCCCGCGCCACTGTAAGTTAAAGATTTACTTGCTTTATTTTCTTTTATGTTTTTAATACTTTTTGTGAAAATGAGACTGATAGGATGATTAGAGTGCAGTGTACATTAAAACAAAAAAATACTGACATGCACAAAGACACACAAATGGTTGTTTGTTTTTTTTCTCCTCTACACCCCTCATGATCGACTTAGGACCAGTCCGTGATCTACCGGTTGATCGCGATCGAGGTAATGGGCACCCCTGTAATAGTAAGAAGATAGTTCACACAGAATCAATGCCAACCTGACTCCCCTGGGATGTGGTCAAAGATCTGCCGGAGGTGCAAATTGACAGGCCTTCTCACAGCTGACCCTGCTCGATGTTCCGAACAGACCCTCACCTTGCAGCTTGGTTTGCCAAGTCGGATTAGCATCCTCCACCAAGAGGTGATAGGTTGACCTATGCACCCCTCTCTTCACCTGGGTGTCCAAGACTTGTGGCCGCAAGTCAGATGACATGAGTATTGAAATCCCCAGGCAGAAGAAGGGTGACCCCAGCTGGAGTACGATCCCGCACCCACTCAAGAACTTCTAAAAGGATGGCTACTCTAAGCTGCTGTGTGGTGCATGGACACAAACAATTGTCAGACCCATCCCACCACCCAAAGGCGTAGGGAGGCTGGGGAAACACATCTGCTTGCCACCTTTTATTGTGGACACTTCCATTATGAAGGAGAACCTCAACCACTCAAGAGGGCTAACGCCAGAGCACAAGCTATCCATCAAGATGAGCCCAATTAAATCTATTCAGAACCCGTCAGCCTTACTCACCAGCTCAGACTCAATCCATCCCTTGAGATGACATTCTATGTGCCAAGACCAAGCTTCTGTGTCCTGGGATCGGACTACCAAGTTCCCTGCCTTTGGCTGTACCCGGCTCACAATACACCCTTTATACCAGCCACATTTGATGAACGCCTGGCATTGGGGACCCACGTTGTCATTCCAAGCCCAACCAATAAGCACTCACCATCGAGGCCCATATTTCAGGTCTGACTCCAGAGAGGGGCTCCATTAACCTTCATCAGGGCCTTAGTTGTCACGATGCGAGGTGGTGGTGGACCCCAAAAAAGCAGGCAGGAGGGAGGAGCAGGTTGTACTTGAAGAAGTGTATGAAAACAGAGAAAACTAAATCCAAAACAAACATAGTCCAAAGTAGCAAACAAAAATCATAACTGAAGCTTAAAACAGAACCATGACCAAAACAAACCTGACAGCAGCAGAGAAACGGCAACTAGTGATGTGCCCGACTACCGAGGCTCCGATGCGCGTGCCGAGTAAACCGGAAGAAAATCTGCAAAGCGCGCATCGATGCATGTGTCGATTATGCTTGTGGCCACGCCCGATGCCTCGGAACCCGCGTTGCTCCGCCCGAAGCTTCGCGAGACGGGACTCCTATGTCACCGCCAACAAATAGTTTCGCGGGTGATTCGAAATAAAACGGCGCACCGGGACGACAATGAGCTGTCAGGTGACACTGACTAGAGGTAAGATCGGGCCGCCCGAGCCCGCGGGTCGGGTCTGGCTTCTTTCTCGCTGACTTCTTTTTTTGTTTGTTACGAGGCCGTTAATAGTTTTGGCCACGAGAGACCGGGGTTCGCCAAAAAACAGAAGTGGCCTCATCACAACACGCACTGTACTAAACACTCGCAATGACAATTCAAAGAACTCCTTCATGTCTCTATGATCAAGCCGTCATTGTTCTTCTTTGTCTCGCTGCTTTTCTTCAAGTGCCGCACTCAATACTTAAGGACGTACTGCTGCTGTGGTGAATGGCCCAATTTTCAACCCATCAAAATGACGGACGGCCTTAAATTTTCCCCGTCCACTCTTAAAAAAAAAGTCCGTCAATGATGGAAAATTGTCGGTTAATGTACCCTCTGCATGGGCCTGGCGGGGGGGTGGACGTGGCATGGCTCGTCGTCGACGTGAATGTGACTCAGCTTGAACAGACACGTGACGAGCCTCCGCTCAACGTGGACGCGGACGGGGCTCGGCCCACCGTAGACGCAGCTTGACAAGACGAAAACAGGACAGCCGCATCACCAGTGCTGCCTGCGGGGTCCAGTTTGTCGGGTCATTCTGTCACGATGCGAGGTGGTGGTGGACCCCAAAAAAGCAGGCAGGAGGGAGGAGCAGGTTGTACTTGAAGAAGTGTATTAAAACAGAGAAAACTAAATCCAAAACAAACAGTCCAAAGTAGCAAACAAAAATCATAACTGAAGCTAAAACAGAACCATGACCAAAACAAACCTGATAGCAGCAGAGAAACGGCAACAAACAAACATGACAGGAGCAAAGAGCAACAATGACCCGACACTGAGTGTTCGGGCTGGGAGTCCTTTTAAAACACTAATTACATAATGACCAACAGGTGTGCAGCTGCAGGGAGAGCCCTACAGTGCCACATGTTGGTACCAAACCAAATCATGACATTAGTCTTCATCATAGGGGAATCTGAATGGGCCACGTTCCGGGCTTCTATTTTTGAGATGGCAGACCAGAGGTCTGGCCGTAAGATGTTTGGTGAATGTTGTTGTGAATGTTGTAACCCAAGAAATCTGTGGGTGGACGCTGGTAGTGAGGATTGTCATCAAAGTGAAGAATGAGTCCTATTTGCTGGGCCTTTTTGGTTTGTGGAACTCTGCAGGCAGTTGATGGGTCCCGGCAGGCCAAACAGAATGTGATTTTAATGGTTGCTGAGGAAAAAAAAACTCAGGCGTGGGATGAGCCCCATAAGATCATGGTGATGACTCCTGAATGGTTTCAAGGAAATTCTGGTCCACTATCCAACGTCTTAGGAAGGGGAAACCACGAAGCAGAGCAGCTTCAACATGATGTATTGTTGAATAGGGATGCTCCTGAGCTTGGCTTGGGTCATTGTGAGTCAGTTAAGAGAATACTTTGAATACCTCAATTTTACTGACATTCCCTTCTAAAAGGAAGGAGAGTCTGGGGGCTCTGTGGTGGAATCTCCTCCTTCTGGGCTTGAGGTAGCCGAAGTGGCTGACAGTAATTCAGATTCTTTTCCAGTATGGTTTGAACTCTGTGAAGGCCCTACATCACCGATTTTTGTTCTGAACAGAATTACTTGTCGGAACAAGTGTTGATGGGGTCCAAGTTTATTACCTCCATTGTGCGTCTGTGCTTTTTGCAAATTATTTGGGACTGTTGGCTTCATCAAGCACCGATCTTCCACCAAATCATAAGACGAAGCTGAACTGTTCCCTTACTCACATAATTATTGTCATGAGTTACGGGCTGTGTCCAAAAAAACAAGGGGTAGGATGAGAGCTCATTCATACGGGAATGATTCAGCGTCAAGCCACTGCTCATGCACTCATTGAAAGGACCCAAATGAGGTGGCTCGAGCATGGTTAGGATGCCTACCTCACTGGTGAGCTGTTCCTGGCATGTCCCACTGGGAGGATGCCCGAGCGAAGAAGGGAGACTGTACTGTATTTCCGCTGTCCTTGAAACGCTTTGGCATACCGATTGGAAGAACTGGATGAAGTGGCCAGAGAGAGACAAAGTCTGAATTTCCCTGTTTAGGCAGCTGACCCATTAAACCGATTCCAGATGAGCAGAAGGAGATGGATGGATACATGGATGATATTCCCAGAAGAGATGATCTTGAAGACATCTTTGTGGCTACTCACAAAAAACAAAGACTTTGACTAGGTCAGGACTCACTTGTAGTTCAATGATGGTGTATGGAATTTATTGGGGTTCAGCAGAAATTGTCACCCCAAAATAATTTCTATCAGGTACGAGCATATGTAGTGACCCTCTGCATTTGGGTAAATAAAAGGGTGAATTATACATTTGATTTTCCAAACAAGAATTTTTTGTATGTTTGGTGAGCACCTGCAATGAAGATTGTATGTAAAGAGCTGTCCCCCACATGTCTTTGCATTGATCATGTAAAGCAGGGATGGCCAACCCACGACTCGCAAGTTGCATGCGGCTCTTTGGCTGGTTCAATGCAGCTCGCGGGCTTTCACATGACAAGCGTCGAAAACGCCTCGGCGGTGACGCTGCCATTCAAACAATGGCGCAAAATACACAGAATTAACTACGTCAGCCTATCATGAATCCCGTGACTTGATTGACATACATGGCAACCAATCAGATGACAACTGAATCACTGCTCATGCACAAACAACGGTGCTCAACGCTAAGTGCTAAGCTAGTCAGCTTTAAAGGTAGGGGTGCCCAATACGTCACAATCACGATTGACCCGGAGCCAGCGGACTGGTCCAAAGTCGAGCGCGAGCATTGGGAGGATGAAATGCGGAGTGGGCGGGATGGGTATGTCAATGTGTTTCGATTTTGTTCGTGTTCAGTGAAGTTCCGGCTCTCGCTCATCTCGGTGTCTGTGCGTGCCTGCGTATGCGCACGTGTGCGTGTGTGTGTGTGTGTGTGTGTGTGTGTGTGTGCGTGTGCGTGCGCGGGCATGTGCGCGATGTGGCTCTTTGCAGTAACACAGTAAAAAAAATTGGCTCTTAGTCTCTAACTTGTTGGCCACCCCTGATGTAAAGGTTCAGTCCAATTTTTACACCACAAAAAGTCCCCACTTTGATCTCGATTACACAACAATAACAAAACAATGTGTTTTTTTCAGACCGAGCTATAGGTAAAAAAGCTGAGGAGGCTGGAGCTGTTCTGCTGACTCTAAACCTACTCCAAAACAACATTCAACATGCGCAGAGGACTGAAGCATACCTCTTTGTCATCCAAGTTTTTGCTGTATCAGGTAAAATGACTTATTTTATTGGGTTCTCAGAAATTTTACTGAGAATTTATTTGAAATTAAAAAAAAGATGTTCGCATACAGAATATATTTTTAGTATGTTGAAATGGTACACTGTACACCAGGAAACTACTGAGATAACATTTCAAAAGGTCTGAATTACTGTTTCAATTCTTAATGGAATCCTTGGCATGGTGCATTATATGTTGGGGATTGGTTGAGGTTGATATTTTTTCGGGATGGGAGTCAAATTTATCATGTGACTGAGACAGTACAGGACAAAAAAAATCACAGGAGTAGACAGGTGCGGGATTATCCAATAGGGCCAACAGAAGCATTAGGACCACAAGCAAATGACCAAAGACAAGACTGCCCCACCCCCACAGTCCGGGATGGGGTCATGGCAACATCCTTCATATGCATTATAAAAGTGACTGAAAACATGATACAGGAGACAAAGAGCAAGAAACAGGCACTTGCCAATGTAAGCCTCCTCAGCAAGTCATTAAGATATTGGCAATCTAAAATTGAGGCTGGCTCTGCCGGACTTCGCTTCTCGTGCATGTGTTTGAACAAGAAACACAAGTCCAATCATTTTTTATTTTTTACAATTAAGTCATGGAAAATATTAGGGGGGGAAAGAAAATCGATTTCAGGTACAGAACAGAGAACTAAAATCGAAAACAAATTGTTGATTTTTTTTTTCCTCTATTTGGTGCAAATGACGTTCTGCCTCCCCTGTCTCATTGAAGTCAGAGGATCCTAACCAGTTTTGAACCCAACTGGCGGCATTGCTAAATAGCCAGTAAGAGCTGCAGTTCCAGCTGCTCCACATACTGTTGTGTACACCATTTATTTGAAGGGGGTCCATGGCTTGAAAAGCCTGGAATACCTGGTTTAGCCTCTTTGGATTGATGCATATTAAATGGGGGAAATGTTCTCAGAATTTTTCCGACATTTTCTTTCAACTGTTGCGAATATTCTGATCTATGAAAAAAAAAAAGAAAGTTGAATCCCAAATGTGATAAGAACAAAACGGGCCACGTCTTTTTGTATCACACCCTTGGGGACCGAGATTGATTTCCTTCACTTTTATGTGAGGCACCTAACCCTAGACGGGTGTCTAACAACTTAATTATCACCAGGTTCCAACGCCACCTCACACCCACCTTGGCGATTAATTTCCGATAAAGAAAATAGACGATCAGCACCCTTCCACCTACGTTATTGATGAATGATTTCCAGTCCTCGAAAAATCTTTAATATCATGAAGTAGACTGGAAAAAAAGTTTGGGGAACACTAGTCTGCATGATGTAAACAGATCCACAACTGAAATAAAAAAAATCACATACTTGCAATTTAGAATCAGATTTAGATTTATTGGCCAACTATGTAAAACACAAAAGGAATTTGCTTTCCCAGTTACAACCCATTCATAGGAACATAAACAAAATAATGACCAACAGAGGGAGACATAACGGGAAGCCTGGCGGTTTGTTGTTCAGCGCTCCGATATCTTAGCTGTGAAAATAAAACAATATGGAACAACAGAGATGGAGATTTTCAGCAATTCATTTGGGCCCAGAGAAACAACGGACAAATTACAGCCACGCACAATTATTTATTAAGAAGCTAAAGTTGGGATTGATTATGATGAGACCTTGGACAGAGAGCAATCAGTGATGGCAAGTCAGACAGAGTAAGGACATTACTTCTAAGCAGCACTACAGGGATCATCAGACACATTTTTGTCAATACCTTTTTTCATTTTTATGTTTTATTGTGTTACAGTTTCCACATCAAAACTTATCGGGTCAAACCAAGGGCTGGATATCATCTACAACCTTATCCCTCATTATACCACCAAGAATATGCAAACAATTAAGTATGTACTGCATGAACATGTGCATGCATTTTGTACAAACTGGATTAAATACATACACTTTAATTACAACAAACTGGAGATGAACAGATGATGATGCCCTCCGAACTTTCTGGGGCTCTGCTTCTTGAAACATGCACGATGAATCTCGATTCATGTTCATTTAACAATAGAAAATCAATGCAGTCATTCTTATGCTACATTGCAGAACAAATTCATTGGGGGAAATGTGTCAAGCTGACCAAAGCATCCTTGTACAGTATGCCCAGCTAATGTCCAGCCTGCTGAAACCAAACTCATAGAAATGCCACATGAATACAACATCGTCTTTGCATGATGACAACATTGTTATTTATAAAGCAGTCCAAATAACAGCCTCACCATCCCAACACTGGAGTGCTGAAAAATTTATGTGGTCCATTAGTTTTGTCTGGAATAAAGGTACATTGCAGCTGTAGCACACAGTAGTGAAGGGGACCAGAACATTTTGAAGCGGTGACAATGATCTCCTTTGATCACCTCAGATAGCCTGACAATTTTCTTCAAAAACTGAATTGACCTGAGAAAAATATACAAATCGTTCTGGATGTGGGGTCTTTCACAGTTGTCAACAACAGACCTTCCAAATTATCCAAACATCCATCCATCCATACATCAACTTTCTACCGCTTATCTGGGGGCGGAAGCAGGGGCAGCAGCTTTAGCAGGGAAGCCCAGACTTCCCTCTCCCCAGCCACTTCTTCCAGCTCTACACGGGGAATCCCGAGGCATTCCCAAGCCAGCTGGGTGACATAGTCTCTCCAGCGTGTCCTGGGTTGTCTCCAGGGTGTCCTGCCACTGGGACATGCCCGGAACCCCTCATCAGGGAGGTGTCCAGGAGGCATCCTAATCAGATGCCCGGGCCACCTCATCTGGCTCCTCTCGACGTGGAGGAGAAGCGGCTCGACTCTGAGCCCCTCCCAGATGACCGAGCTTCTCACCTTATCTCAAAGTGAGAGCCCAGACACCCTGCGGAGAAAAACTCATTTTGGCCGCTTGTATCTAGGATCTCATTTTTTCGGTCACGACCCATAGCTCGTGACCATAGGTGAGGGTTGGAACGTAGATCAGCTGGTAAATTGAGAGCTTGGCCTTTTGGCTCAGCTCCTTCTTCACCACGACAGACCGTGACAAAGTCTGCAGCACAGCAGACGCTGAACCGATCCGCCTGTCGATCTCTCGCTCCCTCCTGCCCTCACTCATGAACAAGACCCCAAGATACTTTAACTCCTCCACTAGGGGGCAAGATCTTTATCTCGACCTGGAGAGGGCACTCCACCCTTTTCCGACTGAGGACCATTGTTTCAGATTTGGAGGTGCTGATCTTCATCCTGACCGCTTGACACCCAGCTGCGAAATGCTCCAGTGAGAGTTGGAGAGCCCTGCTTGAAGGAGCCAACAGTACCACATCATCTGCAAAAAGTAGAGATGCGCAACGCCTCGGCTGCCGAGAAATTCTGTCCATAAAAGTTATGAACAGAATCGGCGACAAAGGGTCCAACCCTCACTGGAAACGATTCCGACTTACTGCCGGCAATGCGAACCAAACACTGACATTGGTGGTATAGGTACCGGACAACCCGAATTAGGGGGTTCTGTACCCCATACACCCGAAGCACCCCCCATAGAACGCCCCAAAGGACACGGTCAAACGCCTTTTCCAAGTCCACAATGCACGTTTTGTCACGCTGCGAGCGAAGCGGAAAGGAACACGCTTCGTTCACAACAAAATTGAAATATAGGATTCCCGAAACAGCAGACACCAACAACAACTCCGTACGAAAATAATATTTATTAACAAAAACCGCACCGCAAAAAATAGACAACAGAACACTCTGGTCAAAACGAGTACCATGAAAACATGCAAAAAAAAAAAAAAAAAAACAATCACAAAAAGCGCTCGCACAAAAGGCAAGGAAGAAAATAAACTCAAATACGATTACCGTATTTTCACAACCATTCGGCGCACCGTATTGTTGGGCGCAGTCTCACTAACGGGTGCTATTTTGGTATTTTACACATAGACAAAACGCACTGTATTATTGGGCGCAGTTTTACAGTGGTAAAACATACGCCAGCTTACACATACGGCATGCGTGCACGCACGCTAAAAACACGTTAGCTTGAAGCATACGGTAGCATGCTAAGACATACGGATACACGCTAAAAACACGTTTTTAAAAAGGCAACGGAAGCAAAACTGAGTTCGGTTGCATTTTATTTAGCCAGCTTACAATGTACTCACGTTTTTTGATCAATCAAAAAACGTGAGTACACAGTCGAACAAACGTGAGTACACAGTCGAATGGTGACTGTGGAGACGCTTCTGCCGGCTGCTCTTTGATCAACAATCCACCGCTCCAGTTGGTCTTCCAACTCGGGCCACCTCGCCTTCTGTCCACGGAAACTCAGCTTCGTCTTTTTGACTTGGCGAAGCTCGTTCTCCTGCTTCCTCCATTTGCGAGCCATGGATTCGTTGACTTGAAATTCTCTCGCGGCTGCTCGATTCCCATGTTTC